ACATCAATATGTTTAGTTTTTTTCATGGTGAAAATGATTTTTAGACAGGTGTATGACACTTCGACTATCATATAATACAGTAACATTGACAATGCTATGTAAGTATTTTTCATTTTTAATTAAATAATAAATTAATATTAATTGAAAACAATTTCAACAATTTTTTTTTCTTTTCTCAACAGGGCTAGAATTCGAAGAAATATAAAAATATAAATTTAAAATAATAATAATAAGTTGTTAAATTTTCAGCGATGACAAGAATACTTTTATTTTCAAAATGAAAAATACTTAGATCAGGGTGCCAATAGACAATGATGAACAACCAAGTATGGCTCACTTGAGGAGTTGCCTTTAGAGCAATTTCTTATGCCAAATGGAGATGAGCATCGCTGTGGTGGTAGAAATCCCAAGTCATATCCACTTATTCTGAATTTTTTGGCTGTCTTATATTCTGCATTAGTCAAGAAACTTACTACATGTTATTAAGACTATATTCATGAACTAGATGAGATGATTTTGTTGATGCATTGTAGAGTCATTTTTGAACATGAACTTTTTACATTTCATCATCATCAGTTAAGAATTTTTCCCATTCTAGGTGAGTAATGGCTGAGTGAGAAAAATTTAGAGATAAAAACAAGATTCAAAATATACTTGTTAGGGAAAATAAATAAATACAAAGAGAAATAAAAGTTACTTTGAAAAAAACGAAGAAAATAGATGAGAAGAGAAAGAAGAAAAGTTTGGGAAAATATTAAATTTTTGAGTGAGAGATAATAAAGATCTTCTTCATCCTGAAGTACCATACCTTAGTGCAATTGGTGCACTTATGTATCTTGCTAATACTACAAGAGCAGATATAGCATTTTCAGTTAATTTATTAGCTAGATATAGTTTTTCTCCAACAAAAAGACATTGGAATGAAGTTAAACATATATTCAGTTATCTTCGAGGAACGACTTATATAGGTTTGTTTTATTCAAACAAATCAAATCTTGATCTAGTTGGTTATGTATATCTTAAATATTCATTTAATCCACACAAAGTTAGATCTCAAACAGGTTATTTATTCACATGTGGAGGAACTGATGTATCATGACGATCAATGAAACAGAGCATAACAGCTACCTCTTCAAATCATGCTGAAATTCTTGCAATTCATGAGGCTAGTCGAGAATGTATATGACTAAGATCAATGACTCAATACATTCGTGGAACATTTGGTTTGTCTCCTAATCATCATCGAACGATATTATATGAAGATAACACAACATGTATAGCTCAAATCAAAAGAGGATATATTAAAAGTGATAGAATAAAATATATTTCACCTAAGCTCTTCTACACTCATGATCTTGAAGAGAATGACAACATCACTATTCAACAAATTTGTTTGAAAGATAACCTCACAGATTTATTTATAAAGGCATTATCTACTACAACCTTTGAAAAATTAGTGCGCGACATTGGAATACGGCGGCTCAAATATCTAAGTGATGTTTCCATGAGGGGGAGCAGAATATATATATTTTTTTTTATTTATTCAGATTATATGAAATATGTACTCTTTTTCCTCACTATGATTTTCTTCCCATTCTGTTTTTTCCTAGTAAGGTTTTAACGAGACATATTTCATATATACAATGAACATCTAAGGGGGAGAATTATAAACATTATTAAAATAGATGTCATATCTTAAGTGTAAACAAAAAAAAATTGTCTTAATGTCCTAACTCCATGTGTTTTATTTTCTATTTGATTAGCGTCTACAAGTGTCAAATTGACCTATGTCCCAAATGCCTAATTGTCAAATGTTTCATGTGTCATACTCCACTTATAACACCGGTTGTAATAATTGCCTATAAATAGTGACAATTCATGGTTCATTTTGAGACGATGGAAATTGTAGTAAATTAATAATAAATTTGAAAGGATTTTTAAGAGCGTAGAAAATTGGTGTGAATGATCAAAATTCCAATTTTATATTTTCCTAATTTTATAATTTATTCCTACTGTCGTGATACCTCGTCTTACTCCTCGTCTTACTCCTTAACTTCACAATGCTTTCAAAATTTATTAAAGCAATAATACACTCATTCAAATTTATTCTAAAAATAATGTGTTTGAAATTGATTATGTCATTTGAAAGACACGACCATACCACTTCAACATTTGGTCGTCGCTAAAGGAAATCAAATTCCAATTTTATATTTTTCCTAATTTTGTAATTTATTCCTACTATTCTGGTGCCTCGTCTTGCTCCTTAATTTCACAATACTTTCAAATTTATTAAAGCAATAATATATTTGTTCAAATTCATTCTAAACATAATGTATTTGAAATTGATTAAGTCACTTGAAATTAGACACGCCCATACAACTTCAGATTTGGTCGTCGATTTTGATTTTAAAAGAAAAAAAAAATCAGACGTGACACTACGACCATACCACTTCAGCATTTGGTCGTCATCTGGGCGCGCATTTACTTACAGCAACGTTGTTTTTTTTCAAAAAAAAAGAAAAAGAAAAATTCCATATATTATATATGACATAATAGCGTGATAGTATCAAATTTAATCTTTTGCGGAGTGGATTTAACCCTCGACTAACTTTCCCGCTCAGAGAGGAAGAATGTGGGTCTTCAAGTCTACTGGGCCAATTGATAATTTTACTAATAAAACGCTATTATTAATATATAATATAGTTAATGTTTTATTTTGTGGCACTACGACAGATTTCCAATCAAATCTGAGAATATTGTTTGTGTATACCTTACGTGAGAGACAGGTCTCTATTTATATAGATGAGCTCCCGAGAGTGCTCCAACGACTCTCTGACTGTCCAAGAATAGCGGCACCTTTTTGGAGAATGTTCCTGTCACCTTCACGCTTGCAGGTGCTTTTGGTGAAATATGGCTCGGGTTGCCTTTCACTTTCGACTATCCAGGGACGTCTGCAGATGATATGTTGTCTTAGGCAAAATTTTGAAACGGAGGCCTTAATATGACTATTTTTTTCAGTTGAACTTTATTTGATTAGATGCTTTATTGTCTACCATTTTTGTTTATGTTTTGATTTATCTATACCTATTATTTCTTCTACTATTTTATCATTTTTATTACTTTTACTTCTACTAAAAAAAATTATTGATAACATTTTACAGATCAATCCGTTTTTGTAGGACATTTTTCATATTCAATATAAGGTTTTATATTTTATATTTTCTTAAGCTTTTCATATCCATATTCATATTTTTTTATAGACATGTTAATATTCTATATTGAAACAAGTAAGTAAACCTAAACAAATCTCAAATATTAATGTATTGAACAATATGAAATACATTTTCAAAAAAGTAAAAGAAATGGAACGAAAAACTTAAAATTATAAACTTTGAAGCTTTGGTTTCTATTCTAACAATTTGGTTTGACATAATTAAGTTAAAATTAGTATAAACTATCGGATATATTTATGGTAAAGTCTTTTTTCTTAAGAGAATTTGAAAAAATTTAATTGTGAAAAAAATAAATTAAAGGAGAAATAATACAGAGTATCTAAAATTTGAGAGAGTTTTGAAAGATTATGTTAATGTTTTTTGTTTCTTTTTTAACGAAGTTTGAAAGGTTTTAAACTTGAAGAAAAAGATAAAAGTAACAAATTTTGAAGGTGTAAAATTAGAATTGAGAATTCTTTTGTCTATGGTTTTAAATATTGAGAACCTCCTGTTTTAGGATGGAGTGTTAGTATCCGACAAATTTATGGTGAATCCGTTTCTTATGCATATTGGCTTGCTAGTCAAACAGTGTTTCTTCCTTTAGTTTACATATCTGCGAAGAGCCTCCTAATAGCCTCTTTTCCCCTATTCATTGCGTATTTATTGGGGCCTCCATGTTCTCATTTCTTTTATCTTATTATTTTTTCTTAGTTTGATGGACTTTAGTCCCATTTTCTTCCCAAAAAATTAAAAATTAAAATCGAGACAAATTTATACAACGGATTATGATTTTTATATTTAATTGAAGATTTTTTTTCAAGAGAATTATATTTATTATTAATTTGTATTTTCAATATTACAGGAACAAAATCCATGAAAAATATTGGCCTTCTAAGATTGAGGGTCTTAGGCGATGATCTCAGTCGCTTATATGTTTAGTCGATCCTGTAACTATCTAAAACTTTGAATCAAATCAAAAGATTCGTTTGGTTCTTGTGATCGTTATGGCGATGGTGGATCTTTGATACGGACAAGTGACGTGTGGTTGTGATATATATAATTGGCCTCCGTGAGAATGAAATTATAAAAAATTGGGAAGGGTGGACGATTGTCCTTGTGTTAGTCGTCGTTTTGCTATTGTTAAAACATATTTGTGAAATAAGAAATGGGTGATGGGAATCAATTGTACATGGCTGTCCCTTGTCACTGTCAGAATACAGAACAAAAGGGCCGGCAGCTCCCTCATTTCTCACCTTCTCTCTCCCTCTCTACTTGGGAAGATGGAGAAGCAAGGGGCGAAACGGCCGCGTTTAGTGCTGGTTCCATGTCCGTACCAGGGCCACATAAACCCGATGCTCCAGCTGGCGGATGTGCTCCACCGGAGCGGCTTCTCCATAACCATAGCCCACACCTTCCTCAACTCTCTCCACCCTCATCGTCACCCGCAGTTCACCTTCCTCCGCCTCAACGACGCCCTCTCCCCGGACCACGTGTCGTCCTGGGACCTGGTCTCCGTTCTGCTGGCCCTCAACGAGAACTGCAGAGCCAGCCTGGAGGCCGAGCTGGCGGCCACGGCGGGGGACTCGGAGTCGGAGTCCGGTGCGGTCTTGTGTATAATACACGATGAGCTCATGTATTTTTGTGAGGCGGTGGCGAGTCGTTTTGGAGTGAGGAGCGTGGTGTTACGGACCACGAGCGCAGCCACGTGCCTCAGTCGCTTTGCGATTCTGCAGCTTCACGCGCAGGACCGTCTTCCCCAAAATCAAGGTATGATCGTGAATCTACGCTATCCTTGTTGTTTTATCTTAACTAAAAAATAAATATTGTAATTTTTTCTTCTATTTTTCTTAGAATAACAATTTAATTTAGATTGATAAACGATTTAGTCTTTAAACTTTAACAATTTAATTTGTGTAGTTTACTATTTGTAATAATGTAGGCCCTATTTTGAAAAATATTGTTTTGTATACGTGTGTGTATCAATAAACGAATGAGGTAACAAATGTTTTTATAAATTATAAATAATAATTAAGTTGTTATGTAATAAGTCTCCTGATTCATGGTTTCATCTCAAAATTAATTGGTAATGAGGGGAGTAGTTCATGTCTATCATAAACTTAAATTGTGAATCATTTTGGCCTGTCGATCTTGGTTAAACCTCAATAAGAATTGACACTTAATTTTGAAGAGATTTTTCACGAAAATGCTAATTAAATAGTTGTTACAAATTTGAAACTATAAGGATGAAAGTTCAAAGACTAAATTGTTATTAATTTAAAAGCAGAACCATTAACTCATTATAGGTTAATATTCAGAAATTATATCCTTATTCCAAAAAATACCCAGTTTTGGAAAATTTCAATTCCGTCCATATAATTTTAAAAAGTTTCACTTTGTAGATTAGTAAATTTTAAATTTAGTTTATTTTAGTTCGTGAAATATTGAATTGTATATTTTAGTCTCCACAAACTTTTGAAAGAACAAATCTTTGGATCTTATCCTCATTTTGCTTTTAACACAAATAGATAACATTCGCTTTAGTCATGTCACGTAAACATGTATTATTTGGTGTTTTTTTTTAATGCAACATGGTAGGAGTGAGAATTTGAACTGCTAATCTTTTTATCGGAGATAGGTATCTTAATCAGTTGAGCTATGTTCAAATCGGTTACAGATTTAATTATTTTGTGGAGAGATAAGATACTATGTTACAAAATAATAGTAGTACTTAGAATAGTTACATTTTTAAAGCTCATAGGTTAGAATGGTCTTTTTGAAAGTTTATAAGAATCAGAATGATTATTTTATAAAAGGTTATAGATTATACTTAAACTCTCTCTTAAAAGAAAAATGGCTAAAATATTTTGTTACTCCCTCAAATTAAAAATGATAATAATAAAATAACTATTTAAGTCCTTAGAGTTATTTTATAAGTCTTTAAATATTTTCAAACCTATATTCTATTTCTTAAACTTTAACAAATAATCATTTTAGTTCTGGCTAGAATAATCATAAACGAACTAACAAGTTTACACTCAAATTTTCATTAATGAACAGGATCTTTCTTGGAGGATGATATACCAGATCTGTATCCTTTGAGATTCAAAGACTTGCCACTCTCAGCCACTGCAGATGTCTTCAAATTGAAACAACTAATTCTCAAAATGTACACCATAACCACAGCTTCAGCTGTGATATGGAACACTATGCCATGGCTTGAACCAAATGAACTCACCCAAATCCACACAAAACTTTGCAAAATCCCCATCTTCACAATTGCACCAATTCACAAGATTGCCTCAACTTCAACTTCAACCCCTGCCTCTTCAAGTTTGCTCCAAGAAGACCCCACTTGCCTGTCATGGCTTGACAAACAACCTCCCAACTCAGTCATCTATGTCAGCTTGGGCAGCCTAGCCCTGTTGACTCAACAAGAGCTAGAGGAAATGGCTTGGGGATTGGTCGATAGCGGGCAACCGTTCTTGTGGGTTATTCGACCAGGGTGTGTTCGAGGCTCAAATGGGGTTGGATCCATGCCAAAAGGGTTTCAAGAGAAGGTTAGAGATAGAGGGTGCATTGTGGAATGGGCTCCCCAAAAGGAAGTGCTTGCCCACGAAGCTGTTGGTGGGTTCTGGAGCCACTGTGGGTGGAACTCGACACTTGAGAGCTTAAGTGAAGGCGTTCCAATGTTGTGTAGGCCGTATTCAGGAGATCAAAGGGTGAATGCGAGGTATATTAGTTGTGTGTGGAAGACGGGCTTGACTTTGGAAGATGGGTTGGAGAGGAAGAAAGTAGAAAGAGTTATTATAAGAATGATGGTGGAAGAAGAGGGAAAGAAGATGAGGGAAAGAGCCATGGATTTGAAAGTGAGAATTGAAGATAGTTTGAGGGAGGATGGGTCTTCCTCTTGTAACTTGAAAGAGCTTGTGGATTTGTTAATGTCTTTGTTTTAGGTCAATATAATTGGTCTTTTTTAATACAACATGTTGGGGAGGGGACTCGATCGAACTCACAACCTTTTGGTTGGAGGTATATGTCAATTACCACTGAGTTATGCTCGTTTTGATTAGTAAACAGTGATTATTAATATCAAATGGAGAGAAAAAAAATTACAAATATTTGAATATAGGACATCTTGCTTTTAATATCCTTTAATATACTTTAAAACTTAGTGTCTTGTTCTAACTTTTTTTATTATAAAAATAAACAATAATATATCCTTGATGATCCATTATTATATTTTTTGTTTTCTAATGTATAAATTATGAAACATAATGATCCTTAAAACTTTTCTGGGTATGACGTAGTAGTAAATGGGGTGATCTTTCAAGTACCAAGTTCGAGCCCTGCGTTAGTCATTGTGTTTTTCAACCCAGGTAACAGGCATTAGTTATAAAGATCCATACTCAGGTTGATAATGTATTCAATATTTTAAATATAACAATGGAAAAAATAATTTACATAACTTTTTATGTTGTTTTATTTTATTTCTTAAAGATAAATATTTTTGTTTTAGAAATTATTTTTAAAAGATAATTTGTTTCTAGTTTAAAAAAAAATGGTTAAAGGTAAATCTTTTATCTTTTATCTTGGTGTTACCTTTTTCTTAAAAGGTCCTAGTAGTTTGTTTTAAAAGCTTTTAAATCCTAGTTTTAGATTAATATTTCTCTCACCGACTAGACCTAGTTTTCTATGAAAAATAAAAAGAGATAAGAAGAAGGAAACTTTTTGGTACTTTCTCTCAAAGTGGGTAAGTTTTTTTTCCTATTATTTTGTGGTCTTTGTTTTTCTTCTTTTTCAATAAAAGCAAAAGATTTTAAAGATTTTTTGCCTCAAAGATTTTCCATAATTTTTAGTATTAATCTTTTTGTTTATGAAACTATTTTTGGGTTATTTCGACTTTTTTGCCAAAAAGTTTACCATGTGTATCCCCTCAAAATATGGTTTATTGTTTTGATTTTTACATGGAGATGATATATGTTTCTACCAAGTTTTAAAGACTTTTTTTATACATTTTTCAAATTTGATTTTTCTGTAAAAAAAAATCACTAAATTGTTAATTGTTTGTTGAAAATTTTCATTTAAAATCACCGAATCACCAAATTTTTAATAGTCTTGAAGGTTTTATATGCAGTTTTGTTGAGAAACTTTTTATAAATTTACTCCGTAATGATTATTATCGATTTTGTACTTTAAAGTGTGTTATTTTTTATTTTAAGGTATTCTAACCTTGTTTTTTAGATCTAGTTTTGTAGTCTTAAATCCATATTTTTCTAATTGTTTTATGTAAAAAAGTGTTTTGAATGGGAAAATTGGGTAGATAAGATGGATTTTAAATCCTTATATAGGATTTTAGATTTGATTTTGGATATGGATTGTATTCTAAGCTTCTAAAAATGCTAAGTATTCTAGTAAGAAGTTACTTAGAATTGTGGGATTTTCAATAGAGGTAAATAATTTGTCGTTATCCTTTCTGAAAATTTTGTAAGTAATATTTCCTTCCAAGACTAAAGATTTATTTTGGATTTGATAGGCAGGTTTGAAGTTGATATATTGTTTATGAAATTGAAGTTTTATTATGATTTTGATAAGTATTTTGGAAATTGATAAGTATTTAAATTGTATTTTGTATGATTTGATAAAGTTCTTTGAAATCAGTTAAATGTTTTGAATTGATTTACTACGAAAGTATGTATTTGTTTTGCATATTTTTTTGAAGTATTTTGATTGATTCGATAAGTCTACACAAATATGTCATTTTTGTTTTGAGAATGTTTGCTTATTTGAAGTAGTAATCTAATTTGGAATTGATAGATTTCTGTCGTGGGAAGACACTTTTGTAGTTTGACATTCCTTGATAATGAATATTCATGTGTGTTATTCACTCACGTGGTCTCACACTTAAGTAATCATTTTAATTGTTATGGTTGATATTAGTTCTACAACTCTAATTGAAGCTTTTGAATGATTGATTGGTAGACAGGTAACCACATATGTTCTTTAGGCTACCAAAATAATGCATATTCCCACTCTCATTTTGAAAGTACCAACAAAAGAAAGTTTGTTTTGAATGTTTGAACGATTTGGTTTATTTAAGATTTTACTGTTTGTCTTATAAGGACTTTCGTAACTTCGTTTTGTTTGTATTTCATTTACGTTTGTTTTGAAGCAAAAATGATTTTAAATGTTTGATATGGAAATTACTTATTGAGTATTTTTGTACTCATTTTTGTTTTTTTTAAATGTTTTTCAAATAAAGGTTTGAGTAACTGTTCAGATAGTGAATTAGTAGGGATGGCAACAGCCCCATCCCGTCCCGTTGGGGAAATTTCCCCCATGCCCGCCCCGTCTCCGAAATTTTGGGGGCGGGGACGGGGCGAGGATTCCCGATCGGGGATGTTCCCCATTAAATATATATATATATATTTTATTCTATGACTGTTAAAAGCAAAAGAAAAAATGGCTAAATCAGCATTGGGCTTGAACTTTTTAAAAAAAATATTAAAAAGTATTTATTAAAATTAATATATATTAATGTTATTATATATAAAAATAAAAAATTAATAAAAATATTAAACGAGGCGAAATCCGGGATGGAGACGGGGTGGGGAGACCTTCCCTCGTCCCCACAGGAGACCCCGATTTGACCTCATCCCCATCAAACTGGGGATTATTCCCGACCCGATCGGATCGGGTACCCGCAAGGATCGAGTCCTGCGGGTTTTTTTTTACCATCCCTATTAATGAGGAATTGCACGAGGGGTTGGAAATTTTGTCTTTTATAGTATTTTTTGTTGGTTAGATTATAAGCACTTAAATTATGAGAACTTAGTATAGTTCTTTAATTTTTGTTATAGTGGTTTCTGTTTCAAAAATGGAATGGTCCTAATCTTTTGTCGTGGCTTTAAAATTTAAAAAAAAAGTTTTCCTTTGATTTAGTGTTTTAACTATCAACGCTTCCACATTATTATTAGAATGATTATATTAGAAAATACGGGTCGTTACATTTAATTAATTCAAACCATAGAAAAAATATATTAAATTTTGTTAACAGAAAGTTGATATACTATTAAATTTTTGTTTTGCTAACATATACTTGACACAACCCGTCCCAAAACACCTACTAGTCTAGAACGAGTCGCACCGACCACAGACCCCGACTAGCTACGAAGTCCATGGTCAACTTTTTTCTTAACTTTAACCTGATATTTGACTAACAACTCCGAATGGATGTACAATAAAATAATAATCTTAACAGAACAACCCTTCTTACATCCATTCAATACATTCTATCAACAGGGTAGAGATATAATTTCTTACAAACCAACTAAATTACATACAGAAGGATATGCATTTTTTGAACTATCTTGGGTGGCAGAATCTGAACTAGAATTTGAACTACTATCTCCTTAAAACTCAGAAAGTCAGATACCCAACTTGGGGGAAAAGTAAAACATAAACAAGTAAAACATAAACAGTGAGCTGGAAGCTCAGTGAGTAGTAAGTTAATAAGAAAATAATTTCGTCAACTTTCTTTCATAAACAACTGAAATTCAGCTCTTAAAACAAACTTCATAAACTGAAGTAATAAACATTCTCATTTAAATTCCATAAAACTTGAGTAAAACTGGAGCAACGTTGTACCTTTCATAAAACTTAGTAAACTTCTCAAAATCAAACTTGTAACAACAATTTCTTTCCAGGCAAATCGAAAAGATCACTCCCAAGTCCAGGATTTGGACCAGGATTCAGAATCCGGATTTAGCCCTAATCGCCCCGGCATTCCCCTGCATCTCCTGCGACCTAGTTACGCCAACTTCTCAACCCGTTCTAAAACACATTCTAAAACATATAAAACATTATTTTTTCAAACTTAAAACAGATAGATAAAACTGAACACCACGCATGTATCCATATTCTATTATGGTCTACTGGCGTAGAGTAATCTTAATACACACAGCAGAATAATTCTAGTTTCCTAGCATAGAGTAATCTCAGTACACATAGTAGAACAATTCTCTCAACACGTGGAGTCAAATGGTCCCAAAGACCTTCTATTTCTGGGTATACTATAGAAACACATTCACATAGCATACGGGTAATCACCTGGATACAATAACATGGTGGTTTGAAAACTATTCTCATAAACTGTTCTAAAATTCTTCTTTATTCTTTCTAAGAACTTTTCTAACTTTCTCAAATCATTTCTAAAATATTTCTTTCTAAGAACATTTCATGAAATTCTAGAATCATTTTCTGAAATCTCTTTCTAAATAACCTTCCATAACTTTTCTCTAACATTTCTCTAAATCATAAAACATTTCTCAATAAACATTTCTAAAATAATTCTTTCTAACACATTTTCTTTCATTCTTAGTAGAAATGCTAAAACATACAAGACATATACTTTCTTGAAATTCTATCCTAATATATTCTAAAAACATTTCTAAAATAAATCACTCACAAATTTCAATAATAATATCTAAAACATTTAGTAAAGTAACCACTCACAAATCAACTCAGTCGTTCCTTTGCTCCAATTTCTGCTCAACCTGAAATATCGATTTAATACCAAATTATTTCACTTAATTCCAACATAAACTAATTCCAAACTTTAATCACAATATATTCAAACAAAACAAATTATCCAAATTCCCCATTCTCTCTTCATTAAAAACTCACTACTTCTCTTTCTTACAACCTTACAAGTGTGAGTCCCACAAGTTACCAATCAATTTCTCTTCCTTCCATCTTCTAACGTGATTTCTCCTTTTTGTTTTTTAGTTTGATTATATCTTCTCTATTTTAATCCATAATTTCTTTCTCTCTCATCAACAACTATTCACTTCTTGTTTTCCTTCTCTCTTCTCCAACCAAACCCACGAGTTCTTCTTCTTTTCTTTCTCACTCCTTCTCTGTTTTCTTTTTTTTTCCCTCCACCAAGAACCCTTTTCCTCCAATTTCTTTAACATTTACACCATTAATGCGTTCCATGAAAATCCCAAGCAAGCACACTCCTCTTCCTTCTATCTAATTACCCCACAATTTCTTATTTAACCTCCTAAACTCATCAACAAAACTTACCTTATCTATAAAATCAATTAAGGAAATGAAAATCTATTTTCTTTAACTCTTTCATATGGGTTCTTAAACATAATATATACAACCACAAAATTACTCTTCAATTTCTACTCATTCTCAAATATTCCAAAGAATAGATTTCCTTACCAAGCTTTGCTGTTTTCCATAGTTGAGGTTCTTAAGTTCGGCTTCAAAAATACCAACCTTCTTCTTCTTCCCTTTTTTTTAGATACCCTAGCGACCGGGTCTCACCCCTCCTCTGTTCTCTTCAAACCATTCTTCATTCTTTTTTCCTTCACTTTCTTTTCTTTCCCTCTTTCTTTTCTTTTCTTCGTTCTTTTTCTTTTTTCTTTTCTTTTTTCTTTTCTTTTAAACACATGTCACACACGTGTCACCTTCACAGTTTTTTTAAATGACTAAAATACCCTTCCAAACTAAAATTCAAATTTTCTCTTTCTTTTTTTGTGTTCTTCTCCCTTCCTATACACTAAATGACGATCATGTCCTTACAATACTAAACACGTGGGCATGCAACTTAGGTATATATCATTTGGAAGAACTAGATTTTTTTTCTTTTTCTTTTTTTTTTCTTTTTCTTTTTCTTTTTTTTTTTGTACAAGAAGAACTAGATTGGTAGATCTATGGGTTGAATTTTGTGTGGGTGGGTAATTTGGGGAAATTGAAGATCCTGAATAATTTTCCCTTCCACAGAAATATCCAAACACAACCAAAATATATGAAAATATGAAGAAAACTGTAAAAGCATAAGAATAACGACACAGCAAATTATACTGGTTCACCACGAAAGGCTACGTCCAGTCTTCCACTCAGATGTGGATAATTCACTAATAATTTAAGGATTAGAATACAAAACTCTTCCCAAAAAAACATTCCCTAGAGGTCCCAACAAAGCCATTTAGCTTCTATGTATTATAAGACACTATACTTAGGTACAGGAATGAAAAACACTCACTAAACCCAAGAATCCTTTTCAACACTACCCACAACCACTAAAGTCTCTTTTATTTGGATTCTATACAAATGAAACCTTAGGCCAAATATCATAATTCTTATAGGAAAATAATATTGTAATCCTTATAAGACAACAATATCCTACTCCCGATAGGAATGGGTAATAGTGTTGAAAAATCCTTTTCTTCATACGATATGGATTTCCTGTTTTGGCTCCATAATCCCAACAGGTATAGAATGAGTATATGTGTATATCTAGCTAGTAGCATGTGGTGACATGTTCAAATATATTAATAAAACAGTAATTCAAAAATAGATCAATTTTTTGTTAACGATTTTTAAATTATTATGATATTTTTAACTTTTACTTTTTAATTTTATTGTGAATTTGATAAGTAAAGAAATGATAAAATATACTTCGCCAACTCGGAGAGAATGAACAAGAAACAATAAAATCAAAATCTCATTTGATACAATTTTGCTCTTTTATTAGAAAAAAAAGCTTTTTTTTTAATTACCATTTCTTTATTTAATTTTTAACTATATAAAAATTGATTTGAAATTTTTGTTAAATTCCAAAAACTGAAATAAAATTCTGAAAAATCTTGTAGTTCTGTAAATTGAGTGAGGTTTCAATATTACCATTAATTTTTCATAAAGGTTTGAGAAATACCTTTCGAGCAAATATCCCGTTTATATTTGAATTCGAATTCCATGACAACTATCGTAGAAACTTATCTGGATTAAATCTAAAAAGAGAGAAAATGTGAAAGGAGTGTTTAGAATAGAGATTAAGGTAGAGAATTAAGACGTTAATTGTCACATCGTTCAAAATTTAGGCACGTCAACTTTTCATTCAAAATATTAAATGACGTTTATTTAAAACATTTATAAAAAATCGTATTGAAACTTTCAAGAGGCATGACAAAGGCAAGGTTTAGGTTTTTTTTTTTTTTGTGTAATTTAGCTAATAAAATAAGAAGTTTTGGCAGCAAACAGATCTTGAATCGCAGAAACTGAAAGCAAGCACATGAAGAGAAAGGGTAAATTGGTAACTTCAGAAGAGGAGAGGGCCGTATTTCAACGATTGATGTCGTTCCCATTCCCAAAATCCCACCTTCTTGAGTTCTCTTCCTTTCCAAAAATGGAGAGGCAGAGGCGCCCAAAACGACGCCGTCTGGTCCTGGTTCCATGTCCGTACCAAGGCCACATAACTCCGATGCTTCAACTCGGCGCTCTCCTCCACGCCGCCGGCTTCTACATCACCGTCGCTCACACGCGCTTCAACTCGCCGGATCCTTCGAAACATCCCGATTTCCGATTCGTTTTCTTGGAGGACGGAACGCCGAAACACGAGGCCATTCCGGCGGATCTGATCGCGGTGCTCCTCGATCTCAATGTTAATTGCAGAGCGAGTTTCGAAGAACAGATGCTGAAGTTACTGATCGCCGGAGAAGGAGCGGCGGCGGAGGAGGAGGATTCCGGTGAAGTCGTGTGTGTGATCCACGATGAACTGATGTTCTTCTGTGAAGAAATCGCGAGCGGGCTGAAGGTGAGGAGCGCCGTGTTGCGAACTACCTCTGCTGCGGCTTCCTTCGCTCGGATGGCTCTTCTTCGCCTCAACCAACAAGCCTTCTTTCCTTTGAATGGTGCGTTCTCCACTTTCTAACAATATTTTAAATGGTAAAAATAAAATAATTTTGGAAGAATAAAAATAGTTACTTTTATTTTATAAGAAAAAAAAAGAAAGACCTGTCTGAGGATCGTAAGGAGCCAATTTTTTTTCTTCAAAGTTTAATAATCGAAATAAAACCATTTGAAAGTCTAGATATCAAAATAGACCCTTCAAGAACCAAAATGATGAATAAGTTAATAACTATGAGTATTCTTGTCACCAGAATTATTTCTTAGGTAGTAATAGGAGTGAACATTTTTGTCAATGTCGGTTTTGACTCAAAAACTAGCACTAAAAACCGATCGGCTAAAAACTAAAGATTCTCTGAGAACCAACCGATCTTCCATTGGTTTGGTTGATCGGTGTTAGTCGATTTTTGGTGCACTCTAGAGAGAGAGTGGCTTAAAGGATTGAGAGATAAACTTAAACGGATGGATTTCGTAAATTTAATTCTTTTAGTGGATATCTAATAGATCTGAACCAACTGATATCAATTCAATCTATTTTTCGAATTTATTTGTTCAAACATCTACTATCGATTTGATCGATTTTTCGAATTTATTTGTTCATCCTTAGGTAGTAAGTCGTCTTAAATACCCATGTTTGGAAAATGTTTTTCACCTACCTGATTTAGCAATTTGCACGGTTTGTTTGGGGCATTTTTATGCTTTAATTTTGAGCTCTTTGTTAATTAAACTTTATTTAATATTTGTAAATAACTATGTAATTTAGTTATTAAGATATTTTAGTTTCAACACTTATTCAAGCCTAGAGTCAATGACAGTGAATTTAAGAATCAAATTGACCCATTTTGACTCAGAGTGAAAAAAAGGTAAAATGACAATTTTTTTCCTCAAGAAAAAATAAAATAAAAATTTCTCTCCTTTGGGAGGTGCGTTGTTCACTTTTTAGAAAATTTTTAATATTTCTAAGAATTTTTAAAATATCTATTTTAGCTTTTACCTTTAAAAAATTAATTATTTTAATCTCACCAATTTTCTACGAATTTTTAAAAGATCTATTTTAGTTTCTACCTTTAAAAAATCAATTATTTTAATCCTCACTTTAATTTTTGTTTTAACGAATTAATACTATATATATATAGTTTACATTTTTCTCTCTTAGTTGTCAAATATTCAACTATTTAATGGTGACAAATACATGATTAGTTTTAACCAGTAAGAAACCAAATATATATTTTTTTATTTTTAAGTTTAATAACTAAAATAAAACAAGCTGAAAATCTGGAGACCAAAAAAGATCTTTTAAGAACCAAAATAATCCATAACTAGAATAGGGGTAAACATCTGTTGAATTGGTTTTGGCACAAAGCTAGCACCAAAAACTGATCGGTTGAAAACTTAAGATTTTTAAGTTTTGTACCAACCGACCATTCATGGTTTAGTTGATCGGTGTTGGTCGGTTTTGGTTTAGTTGATCGGCGTTGGTCGGTTTTTGGTGCATGCTGGAGAGAGGGTGTCTTGAAGGAGTGAGATAAGAGAGATGAAGAGGGGAAAGGAAGCGAGAGAAATAGAAGAAGAACATGAAGGGAAAAAATTGGAAGAAAATTGCCAAGAAAGGGAGAAGAGTGGGAGGGAAAGACAAAAGAGAGAGACGAGAAATGGCGAGAGGGATTCACGTCAAACAGTAAGAAAAAAATAAAATACCTCGCTGCTATTCTAGACCCAAATCTTGTCTTCGCTACCAGTGAGAAATTCATTTGGACTCGAGTCAGAAAGGTAAAAACACAAATTTTTTCTCTCAAGTAAAAATAAAATAAAAATGTCTCTCCTTTTTAAAAATTGATAATCTTATCACAATTCTTGTTCGCCCCTCAAGGCAATTCACTCCTTGTCAAATAAACCTATCTTTGAAAATAAGAGGGATGGGAAAATTCTAATTCCAGATCACAGAATCTATGTTACAGGATCCAGTTCCGGAACTGCATCCCCTGAGATTCAAAGATCTGCCATTTTCGTTAACAGCAAGCTTCACCAAATACTCAATACTGGTTAAAAAGATGTACAATATCGAAACACCCACCCGAGCCAAAGCCGTCATTTGGAACACAATGGAATGGCTCGAGAAATCGACTATGGCCGAAATCAAAAGTAAATCCATGGTCCCCGTCTTCCCAATCGGCCCTTTACACATAATGGCCTCAACACCAACCAGCATGCTCAAAGAGGACCCGGAATGCCTGTCGTGGCTCGACCAGCAAGCCAACGGCTCCGTCGTCTACGTAGCCATTGGAAGCATAGCTTCACTGAGTGAGAAGCAGTTGGTAGAAATGGCCTGGGGGTTGGCCAACAGCCAGCAACCGTTCTTGTGGGTGGTGCAGCCGGGCTCGGTGCACGGCTCGGAGTGGACCGAGGCATTGCCGAAGGGTTTTGGGTGGGCGGTTGGAGGGAGAGGATGCATTGTGAAATGGGCTCCTCAGAAACAAGTGTTGGCACATAGGGGTGTTGGGGGATTTTGGAGCCATTGTGGGTGGAATTCAAGCATGGAGAGTTTGAGTGAGGGAGTTCCAATGCTGTGCAGTCCATGTTTTGGGGACCAGAAAGTGAATGCAAGGTATCTGAGCCATGTTTGGAGGGTGGGGCTTGAGTTGGAAAATGGGTTGGAGAGAGCAGGGATTGAAAGTGGGATTAGAAGACTAATGGTGGAAGAAGAAGGCAGAGAGATGAGAGAGAGAGCCAAGCATTTCAAGGAGCAAATTGAAGCCCATGTCAAGGAACAACATTCCTGCTCCTCACACAGTTACTTAAAAGACTTTGTCAGTTTATTAACCACATTTTGATCATGCAAGCAAGTAGTTTTTCAGTTCTTTGTGTACCTTTGAACTGGGTAGAATTGTAGAACAGTTCTTTCATCTAATAAGCTAAAATTTAAAGCATATTTATTAACATACTTGTTAGAACTGTTTGCATTCAAAGATAGCTTGGAGAACAGAAGATTACAGAACCACAGAACCACAGAGGTATCTTATCAAACACATGGTGAGCGAAAACCGACTTCAAAGTTCAGAACAAAAAGATATATCTATCATCATTTTACGACAGACAGATTCTCGTCCTAAACACAGCATTCAATCTGAGATTCTTACTTGTATAATCGCGACCTCCGTCTACTCGCCGGTGATCTCCACCACCTGGACATTGCGCCTGCTCCGATCATCTTCTTTAGGAACAAACACAGTGAGAATTCCGTAATCCATGAACGCACTCAATTCCTCGATTTTCCCGCTCTCCGGAATCTTGAATCTACTCACGAAGCCGCCGCTCTCCGCGCTGATCTGGAGCATCCGATCGTCCTGAAGCTCGACGAG